ATCCACACAGGTCCGAGACATCTCCCCCACTCTTTCCTGGCATCAGGAAAACAAAAACAGAGGTGCCATGTGTCTGCAGAGCCTCACCATGCCCACACCTTGTCCCAGCTGCAAATCAGGGAGACGTCCTGTGCCTCCCGCTCCCTATCACTGCCCCAGCTGTGAATCAGGCAGCCAGGGGCACCCTGTCATTAGGGACCCCCGTCTCATGGTGTCTGGTATCTTCTCCAGCTGCTCCAGCCTGCATCCCACAGCCCTTCGTTTGGCCGCTCCAACTCATCCCCACCTATCTCCCTCCTCCCTTGACACGAGTTCCCTATAAAGCCCCAGCCCTACACATGAGCCCTGAGCTGCTCTCCCTCCGAGGCTGCTCCCGGCAGTTCTTCACTCTAATAAAACTTTCTTTGCTCAGCATGGTTTTGGCTGCCATTCTCGGTAGTGGTTGAAAACCCTTACAATTAACATTTCTAGTAAAATGTGGGAAGTGTTAAGACATTCCAGCAATCATCTCCTTACAAAGGCATCAATTTGAACAGCTACTCACACACATTACCTTCCCAAGACCTAAGGAAACCCGGTGAAGCTACCACAGTGCCTGGTTTTCACCTAAGATAGTGAAAAGGACAGAAAGCAGAGTGGCCATATCATCACTCCCCACTCCCCTTCCAGCTCCAAGCATTACAGTTCTATGCCTTCCACCTCGGGAAGAAAGAGGGGTTAAGCGCAGACCTCAGAATTGAAACCTATTATCAGGCCAACCCAAGGCCCTCAGGCCAGCACTGCAGGCGGAGCCTTCCCATGACACTTCTCCCTACCTCCAGAACACACAGCTCCCAGCCCTGAAGAACAGTGTGGGAAGGACAGTGAGAACTTTGCTTTGGACCCTGCAGTCAGGCCTACCATGATGCCATCCAGTGCCAGGTAAGGTCCCCCGGGCCAGTGCTGGCAGATGTACCCTCTAGCAGTTCATTCGGAACACACTAACGGAGGATCTGGGACAAACCTAGGAAGGGCCACCCTCCAGTACTGAAACAGTATACCAATGCCTGACTTGGAACAGACCTGGACCTGGGAGGTCACCCAGTGCGAAAATAGCAGGAAGTCCACAGGCTCAGGGAAAATAAGTGGACTGTTTACCTTCTCAAAGACGAGCACAAAGCCATACACAAATACAGAAAAAATTCCTAATCCTTTCAATGTACAGATGTCATTTACCAACAAGCATCAAGAACTGAGAAGGACTTTCCCTAATGAACAAAATAAGGTGTTAGAAACCAGTCAGATAAATGGACACAAATTTTTGAATGCATAATTTAAAATAGCTGTTTTGAGGAAACTTGGAGATTCAGGAAATCAGAGAAATGAGTCATTAGTCTAACAGAGAAACTTAAGGATTTCTGCTTGATTTTTAAAAATTCTGTTAAGCTGAAAAGCACATTAAGAAAAATTAAAAACACAGTAGAAGGCATCAATAGCAGAACAACTGAAAAAGAAAGATTCAGGAAGCTGGATAAGGCTATTTGAAAATATACAGGCTGGCGCTGCAGCTCACTTAGCTAATCCTCCGCCTTGCGGCGCCAGCACACCGGGTTCTAGTCCCGGTCAGGGCACCGGATTCTGTCCCGGTTGCTCCTCTTCCAGGCCAGCTCTCTGCTGTGGCCAGGGAGTGCAGTGGAGGATGGCCCAAGTGCTTGGGCCCTGCACCCCATGGGAGACCAGGATAAGCACCTGGCTCCTGCCTTCGGATCAGCGCGGTGTGCTGGCCGCAGCGGCCATTGTGGGGTGAACCAATGGAAAAGGAAGACTTTTCTCTCTCTCTCACTGTCCACTCTGCCTGTCAAAAAAAAAAAAAAAAAAAATCTGTATGTGTATATACACACACACACACACACACACACACACAGAAGGGAAAAAACGAAGAACCAAGAGACATGAAGGAAGCTTATCTGGGAACTCTGGGGCAGCATTAAAGAGCAAATCCAAAAGCTGGGCTTCAAAAGGGACCTGAGAAGGTCCCATGGATAGAAACATATTCAGAGATAACAAGGAAACTCAACCCTGAAGAAGCAAACATCTAGACACAGGAAGGCTCAGAGGTCACCAGTAAAACGCAACTCAACCAAATCTACCCCAAAATATAATTAAGCTCTCCGAGATTAAAGATAAAGAGGATTCCCAGAGCCACAAAAAAAAAGAAATAGAGGCATCCCAGTTTTCTTGGCTGCAGACTTCTCAGCAGAAAACTTACAGGTGAGGAGGTGATGGGATGAGACTTCCACAGAACTGAACGAACAGTGCCAACCAAGAATAATCTACCCAGTAAAGCTACCATTTAGATGTGAAGGAGAACTAAAGGCTTTCCAAGCAAAAGCTGAGAATCTGTCACCTCCATCCCTGCCTAGAGGAGTTCCTCAAACAGACTGAAAGAAAACTCAGGAAAGTGAGCAGGGAGCCTGGATGTAAACCCACACGTCTACAGATCTGACAAAGGTATGATGTGCACTGGAGAAAGGACAATCTTTGGTGAACAGCAAGGGGAAAACGCTATCCACACGGAAGAATGAGGCTAAGCCTGCCTTTCACCACATTAAGAATCAATTCAAAACAGATTAAACAGGTAAGTGTAAGAAGACCTGAAATTACGAAACTACTAGAAGCTAACGTTTCAAGACACTTAGTTTTATGGGTAAACACCTCAAAAGCACAGCAAACAAAAGCAAAGTGGACATAGGAGATTTCAAACTGAAGAGCTTCTGGGAATAATCAACAGACTGAAGAGAAAACCTGCAGAATGGAAGAAAATATCTGCAAACTACACACCTGGCAAGGGGTTAATATGCAGAATACATAAGGAACTCAACTCAATGGCTCAAGAATAATCCAGTTAAACAGCAGGCAACAGGGGCCAGCACCGTAGTGTAGCAAGTAAAGCCGCTGCCTGCAATACAGTCATCCCATATGGGCACTGGTTCAAGACCTGGCTGCTCTGCTTCCAGTCCAGCTCCCTGCTAATGTGCCTGGGAAAGCAGCGGAAGATGGCCCAAGTCCTTGGGCCCTTGCACCAACATGGGAGAACAGGAAGAAGCTCCTGGCTCCTGGATTTGGCCTGGCCCAGCCCAGCCATTGTGGCCGTTTGGGGAGTGAACCAGCAGATGGAAGATCTCCTCCGTCTCTTTAAAAAAAAAAAAAAAAAAGTAGGCAACAGATCTAAATGAGCTTTTCAAAGAAAGTCAAACAAATGGCCAATAGGTAGAATACTCAATATCACTAGTCATCGTAGAACAGCTGTTATTAAAAAGACAAAAGGTAAGAGCTGGCAAGGGTGTAGGAGAAAACAGAACCCTGCACACTGTTGGTGGGAACGCAGACTGGTATAGCCATTGTCTAACACTATATACAGAGATTCAAGAATTGGGACATGAAGCTACCACATGATCCAGGTACCTTGTTACTGTATGTATCCAAAGAAAATGAAATCAATTTGCCAGAGAGATATCTGCACTACTCAGAACAGCCAAGAAATGCAAACAACCTAGGTGCTCATCAACTGATGAAGAGAGAGAAAACGTGATACATGCACTGTTCAACCATGAAAAGGAACAAATTCCTTTCATCTGAGACAACACGGATGTCATGGTATTAAGTACTATTGGCCAGGCAGAGAAAGAAAAGCATCGCACAGTATCACTTATACTGATTTCAGGAAGTCCAGGGTCAAATGGTGATTACCAGAGGCTGAGGCAAGTAGAGAACAGGAAAGGTTGAATAATGACTATCAGATAGATAGGGACAGAGAAGTTCTGGGGTTCAATTGCACAGTAGGGTGACTACAGGTAACAGACTATGTATATTTTAAAAAAGAAAAAAACTAGTAGGTAGGATTTTCAGTTGTTTTCACAAGAGATAAATGTGAGAAGATGGTTATGTTCACCCTGATCTGAACATTTCATAACATATACACGCATCAAAACATCAGACGGTATCCCACAAGTATTCATGTGTCAGTTGAGAAATAAAGTAAAATAACTCACTAGTCTACACTGATTAGATATGCTGAGCTGAAGTTACATTTAGTCCTTTTAAAATAGTTTGATTTTTTGAAAGGCAGACAGAGCTCTTCCATTTGCTGGTTTATTCCCCAAGTGCCTACAACTGTCTGGCCTAGGTCAGCCAATGCTGGGAACCTGGAACTCAATCCAGCTCTCCAAGGTATGTGGAAAGGCTTCAGGTACTTTGCTCACTGCCGGCTGCCTGCCACGGTGTGTGTTAGCGGGAAACCGGATTGGAAGGCGAGAAGCTGGGATCCGAGCTGTCCCACTGCAAATATGCAGTGAACCCTGAGCAGCTATTCTAACCCTCGCACCAAACACCCACTTGTTTATTTTCACTTTTAATTTACATGCAGTTAGAATTATGAAAAGTTTCTCCAATTGATTACACAAAAACTATAATGACATAAAAGTATTTTATCAGGTTTCTATTATTGTTTCATACTTTGATTCCAAAAGACTACATTCCTCTGGCTTAGTTCCTCCTCTATTTCTTCATAAATTGAGAATCACAACTTCAGAGATTTCTCACGTCTTGACCACATCAGTAAGACAAACTCCACAGTACCACCTGAAGAGTGGATTCACAAAGTATGAACCTGTTAATGTCTCTGCATCTACTGGACTAAGTTCAACCTTCAACTGGGCATTCTAGGCTTCTAACCTGCCACACGCTAACAGGACAAACTCCTTTATACCAGACCTCTGCCTGGAAAACCTTTCCTCTCATTTTATTAATAATTAAGTTTCCAGCCATAGTCATTGGTTTGCTCTTTAACTGGCCCCAAAACGGATCAAATAGGTGAAGACCTCATTTGCATTTCAGACAAGAGACCCAGTTACTCAGAACCATCAATTTAGGAACCAGAGCTGTAAAGGACAGGCATTTTAAAAAAAATTTTTTTTCCCGAAAATACAAGTAGTAAGAAAGCATCAAAGGATAGAACTTACCGAAAATGCTGGATGTTTGGTAGTATACACGCATGGGGCACTCTGACAATCTTGGGTGTCCCTGTAGTCCCTGAAGTGTGTAGAACATAGGCTAAGCAATGCTCCCGTATTATGTCCACGTGTTCTTCTTTGCTGTTCTCACTTTTGTGTTTCTCTTTTCTATCACTCAGCAACAAGTTCACCTCAACATTTTTCCAGTGAAGTCTGAAGAGTACCAGGTCATTATGTTCAGCTGTAACCGTGCCATGGTTCAATAATGCTTCATGGGAAGACCTGAATTTCTACGTTAGATGGGGACAAAGTTTACAACAGTAATATGTTAAAAGATTTTTTATACTGATATAATGAAATATCCATTGGTTTAGTCAACAAAACTTTTGGGGGTTGGGGAGAGGGGGGTACTTGCTCTTGACTCAGGAATTAAAAAAAATGAAATCTCCCACAGTAAGGTGCTACTCTTACTTTCAGACTCACCTTCAAAATAAACACAAAAACATACAACTGTAACGCAATGTGGCAAGCACGGAAATGGAGTACGCTTGAATTCAGCTCTTCTCCAGACAGTGAGGATGGGCATTTGAGGCAAACGGAAAATACAGAGGATCTGATCCAAGTGAGCCCATACTGTGGCTAACATCAGGATTTCAGGACAGAAGGATAAGCAAAACTGAGAGCAAGTTAATGAACTTTTTTGCAAAAACTCAGCTCTGCTGTATGCACCTGAACTAGGCCATTGGAAACATAATGGACAGCAAAGGTCTATGTGCAGAGAATCAATAGGATGCAGTGACTTCTTGGATATGCAGTAAGCACAAGAAAACTACTGGGTTTGACTCAGGTAATTTGATGGTAGAGATGGATTAATGAAGTTTGGAAGAAAAGATGTTAAATTCCATTTGTGCAAGCTGAAAGTGAGGTTCCTTTGAATGTAACTTTCAGGCTGATAAAAAAAAATAGCTTAGTGAACCATAACTTAAGTTTTCACATTAAAGGAAGCAATAATGAAGAGGGGCTGATGCGGGGTAACAGGTTAAGCCATCACCTGGATGACGGTATCCTGTATGAGGGCTGGTTCAGGTCCCAGCTGCTCCGCTTTTATTCCGGCTCCCTGCTAATATGCCTAGGAAACCACCTACATGGGAAAGTCAGGATGGAGTTGCTGGGTACAGGCTTTGGCTGGCCCAGCCCCTGCGGTTGCCCCTGCAGCCATCTGAGGAGTGAACCAGCAGACTGCAGATCTAACTCTGCCTTTCAAGTGGCTAAGGATTGTTTTTAAAATAGCAGGAACAAAAGGAAAAGGTCACAATGCAAGAGTCTCAAGTCATTTGCTTTCAGTGTTGAGTGCGTTTGCAGTGGTATGGCCCATGTTTAAAAAAGTTAGAACAATTCAAAATCATCCTCCATTAAACATTTAACGTATCTACTAGGGTACATCTACTTTGCTTAGGACAATGTCAGTCTGTGTTGACCTTACAGGTGCGATATATCAACTTTTTCCTCTCAAACTACATTGTAAGAAGCTGGAGGGCTTACACACCAAAGTCCTCCTATTCTGTCCCTAGTTCAGAGTTTAACCTCAACGTTACTGACACTTGGGGCCAAATACTTCTTTGTATGGGACTATCTTGGTAGTGTAGGATTTTTGGCAGTGTCACCAATAGTAGTACCTCACTTCCACCATGACAATCAAAAGTATCTCTAGACGTTGCCAACTGTCCCCTGGGAGGCATGCTGTCACCAATTGAGAACCACCGCTCTAGTGGATGTTGGGCATACAGCAATGCTCATTAAATCCTTACTGACTGCTCCTAAGTAAAGGAAAAGCACTTAAACCATCATCAAAAATAACAGAAAAGGTGGGGCTGGCGCTGTGGCACAGCACATTTAACGCCCTGGCCTGAAGTGCTGGCATCCCACATGGGTACCCATTTGAGACCCAGCTGCTCCACTTCTGATCCAGCTCTCTGCTATGGCCTGGGAAACCAGAAGATGGCCCAAATCCTTGGGCCTGTGCACCCGCGTGGGAGACCTGGAAGAAGTTCCTGACTCCAGATCTGCACAACTCCAGCCACTGCGGCCATCTGTGGAGTGAACCATCGGATGGAAGACCTCTCTCTGCCTCTCCTCTCTGTAACTCTTTCAAATGAATGAATAAATCTTTAAAAAAAAAAATAAACAACAGAAAAGGGACTAGCTAAGGCATTTTGCTCTGTGCCCAAGTATTTATGATATGCACACCTACTGAATTCCTTGATCCTGAAAATCGACAAAAACCCATTTGTTTATATAGATATTAACCACATGAAAACTTTAGTTCTTTCTGAAGGCCTTAATCTGAGACTAATTTTCTAGGGAGATTCCCCCTTTATTTAATGAGATTTAAATATCAAGATAGTTTCTTGATATTTATCCCTATACACATATGCTACTTTTAAATTATTCTCAAATATAAATTGGCTCATATAGAAAATAAATTAAAAACAGCTAAATATACCACTTATGATATTCTCCTTTGGTAAGATAGTCTTATAAACAAGAAATAATTAAGCATGGGCTGTTTGTTGAACCTGTGTATATGCCAGGTCTTGCCCTGAAAGCAGTGTTTCTTGGTTATGTCTTTGGTTGCTATTTAACGGCTAGTGCATTTGATTTTTAGTTTCATATTTGTATATTTGCTTTAAACTTTTGATGAAGAGATACAATTTTATACAGTTGGAATGTACTTACTTTCAAAGAAATAAATCTTTAAAAATCAGAGTTACAGAGAGGGGAGAGGCAGAGAGAGGTCTTTCATCTCTCTGGTTCACCCCCAAGATGGCCACAACGGCCGGAGCTGTGCTGATCCGAAGCCAGGAGCTTCTTCCGGGTCTCCCACATGGGTACAGGGGCCCAAGGACTTGGGCCATCTTCCACTCCCTTCCCAGGCCATAGCAGAGAGCTGGATTGGAAGTAGAGCAGCTGGGTCTCGAACCGGCACCCATATGGGATGCCGGTGCTTCAGGCCAAGGCGTTAACCCGTTGCACCACAGCACCAGCCCCTGCTAATGCATTTGAGAAAGCAAACAATGGCCTAAGTAGTTGGGCTCTTGCCATCCACTTCAGAGATCCAGATGAAGCTCCTGGCTTTGCCATACACTAGAGCTTCTTGGCTGTTGTGGCCACCTGGGGAGTGAACCAGCAGATGGACAGATTTACGTCTGCCTTTCAAATAAAGGATTATAGCCAGATTTCCATTTAAAAATTATTTGTTGATGACTATAAATGCCATAAATATATAAAGACAGAAGTTTCAGGTAGGGGCAGGAATCTGGTGCAGCGGTTAAAATCCACTTGGGACACCCACATCTTCTGTCAGAGTGCCTGGATTAGAATCCCTACTCTGCTTCCAATCCCAGCTCCCTGCCTCTGGGCACCCTGGGCAGCAGCAGGTGATGGTTCAAATACCTAAATCCCTGCTACCCCCAAGGAAGACCTAGATTAAGTTTTGGGTTCCTGGCCTCAGCTTGGCCCAGTCTTGGCTGCTGCAGGCATTTGGGGAGTGAGGCAGTGGATGACTGCGTCTCTCACCCCCAAATAACTAAAAGCTTCGAGTATAATAGAACTTTTCCAGAAAAGGCAATACTTTGGAAAGAAAAAGGAAATTCAAAACGACTGTAAGGCCAGGCGATGTGTTTTATGCCATAGACAGGTGGTTCCCAATGGATTGTGAGACGTGCAGAGCGCCTCCAGGGTCCATCTGGCAAGGTCTGGAGCATTTCTGATCACCACAGCTGTGAGGTGCTCCTAGTGTTTGAGTAGAAGCCAGGGATACTGCAGAAGATCCTGTAACGCACAGGACAGAGGCTGGCGCTCTGCCTGAGTCAAGACGTCATTTGCCACACTAGCATCCAGTATCAGAGTGCCGGTTTGAGTCCCGGTTAGCTTTCCTATCCGGCTGCCTATTAACATGCCTGGGAAAGCAATGGAAGATGGTTCCCAAGTATCTTGGGCCCCTGCTACCCACGTGGGAGACCTGTATCGAGTTCTGGCTCCCGACTGTGGCCTGATCTAGGGCTGGCCGATGTGAACCACAGGATGGAGTATCTTTGGTACTTTCCCTTCCAAGTAAACAAAGTCTTTAAAGAAAAACGTAGGAGACTCTACAACAGTTACTCAACACAAAACGTCAGCAGTGCGGAGCCTGAGAAGCTAAGCTGGAGCTGACAAACCTAGAAATCAAGATGAGAGGCGGGAACTCAACTGAAAGATAACACACACACACGCACACCCTGAAGCCAGACTTACATTAATTTGCTTTTTCTCAACAAGGATATACTTTAGGTTACATTTTTTCATAAAATAAGCTGACAATGACGGAGGCGAGTCTGGATCAATCGGAGCATAAGCAGCAGGCACCTGGAGAATTCTAAAGAAACAAGTTCAGAGTCAGCTTTGGGAAGTCTGTCGACTACAATCCTTCTGTAGGTACTTCTCTCTCCACACGCTATCCTGTATCAGCAGTGTGACCGACACAGCTCTGGTTATAAAGATTGTTTTGCTCTTCATGAACATCCAGGGGACATAAATTCTACATTAAATTCTCACTTAATACAGAAAGTGCAAGATTTTTAAGAGCCAATGTACCACAGTATAATACACGATTAGCCGGCCACTACTAAAATAAGTCTGATTTCTTCATCTGTAGGGTAAGAGAAAAGCTAAGTATCCGCATGCATCTTATTTGTATGCAGAATATGAGACTTTCATACAAAAGACCCTTCACCCAGATCAGGAGGAGAGCTTTTCTGGGCGGGGGGAGAAGAGCTTTAGGATTAGCTTGTATGCAGCAAAACTTGTATAAACAAGACATTTAGTCATTTTAAGTAAAAAAGTACTCTGAAGTTCTAGATCTTTGAAGTAAATTCTTTAAGTTTTTGTAAATGAATCAAAGTAAATTTCTGAATTCTATACTTACATAGTTAACCTAAGACAAACCTTATAGGATAAAAAATCTAATTCTTTGGCAGCCTTTTGCTGTATAACAGAAAATACATTGACAGGAATAATTAAGGAGACTGAACATTTTATAGGTATTGTTTAAGGATCTTCCAATGGTCTTTCAGCTTTTATGGATCATGACCCAATACTCTCATTCATCCCTCCACTGAATGCATGAGCTCCTAAACTTTGACTTCCAAGAGAAAAAATATGTTACTTCTCAAATCCTTATGTTGTCTAACTACAAATTATAATTATTTTCCTCTGACAAAGAAGAGCCTTTAGAATCTGGACATTTTTAAAGGCGCCAAGTGAAAATTTCTAGTGTCTCCTAAATAAGCTCAAATTAATTAATTCAAATGATTACACATAACACTAGGAGAGATGTCAACTCCTTTAGCCTCTCTAGAATTAACCAAACTACAGAAAAAAATCCAACTGTCAACAGAATAGTACCTTGTAACATATTCTATAAATTACAAAGTTATGAATTTAAGGTAGTATCAAATTTATAGTAGTAAGAAATATTACCCTTGGGGCCGGCGCCGTGGCGCAGTAGGTTAATCCTCCATCTGCAGCACCGGCATCCTATGTGGGCACCAGTTCTAGTCCTGGCTGCCCCTATTCCAGTCCAGCTCTCTGCTATGGCCTGGGAAAGCAGTAGAAGATGGCCCAAGTGCTTGGGCCCCTGCACCCACAGGGGAGACTTGGAGGAAGCTCCAGCGCAGCTCTGGCCATTGCTGCCATCTGGGGAGTGAACCAATGGAAGACCTGTCTCTCCCTCTCACTGTCTGTAACTCAAGATTTTGAGAGGTAAAGAAAAAAGAAATATTACCCTAAAATCCAAGAGGGCACGTTTATTCCCGGCTGGCAGTAGAGACCAATTTCCCGAATTCCGTCAAAGTCACAGTGTGACAGCAGGAAACTGGATAATTCTGAGGCAGCAGTAACCACAGTCTTATAGGTGTAATAAACTGGAGGCTGGTTGTTGCATTCATCAAAACACACGGCTATTCTGTCCGAATAGAGGGAGGCGGCCTGGTGCACCAATTCCTGAAGAGTCATTTCACGAACGTGCATCTAGACACCGTTCATCTACAGCAGAGAACTATGTATGAAGAGAAACATCGGGAGCGAAGCTTCTCTGTGGTCACTCCTTGTAAAACTATCAAAGACAGACATGGAACTGAATAGTCTATGAACTTAAGAAACGTGCATAACTCTGGGGACTAATGAGGCCAAAATGAATCTGATGCAGTCACTTCAAACACTGGGTCAGAGCTTGAAAAAGAAAGGAACGATAGAACAGATGACAATGCAAACAGTGTAGACGTCAACTGATCACAGTGTGAAAAATCTATATAATCAACCAATAAAACCACGTTTAAAGCAGCACATTTTTCCTTACAGTTATAGGAAGATTAAGACTGTCAAAATCCTATATAGTGACTTTGAAACAACTAGTGAAATAAAGTCTGCTTTTAAGTTCAGATGCGAATGAAGGCAAAATGCATCTCTGTTGGGGGAAAAAAAAAATCCTACCTTCTACCCAACCAGTTGTAGACTGTTATACATGAGAAGAGTGCTTTTTCAGCACTTATTACAGCACTTTAGAGGTCACACTCCTATAGTTTTATTCATAGCCTTGTTTGATTCTTAAATTGCCAAGTTTAGATTTACCCCCTAAATACAGTATTACAACTCAATAAAGAGTCTATAACAAGAACATTTGGAACAGTATTTCAGAGAAACATTAAGGATTGACGATAACAAAAACCTTCCTTGAAGGTGATCACCCCCTACCCCAGAATCTTAGTTCCAGATTTCAAAACAAGTAAGATTTATCAAGGAGCCCACTGACAATCCTGAAGTTTATTTGCTCATATTTATTTGGGCCAATTTCCTTACCGAGTCAAAATATTCAGCCAGGTCATTAACATCAGTCGGAAACTAAGAACCTTCTCAGGAGTATACAATGAACACCTGCAGAGACTCAAACTTTGAAGATGCAGGACTTCTGGATGCAAACCTCAGCAATACCAGAGAACCTCAGTGGTGGTTTTTAGTAAGCATTGCTCCAAGCACTTCTTTTTGGCCTGTCCAAGACAGATTTTCAGCTTTCCTTAGACATACGAATGATCATGTAGGAATGGTTGTCTACAGCACATAGAACTGTAGGAGAGGCGTTTACTTCACAATCCAGTTAATGCTTCTGCCACCCACTCCAGCACGTGCCTATCAAATCGTCTACACACGGAATCTATCCCATTGAGGCATTTTTATAAAAACCGAGTCCACTTGCAAAAGCCACTTATCTTCCTTGAACGTACCAACATGAAGTTAATTTTCCACATCAGAATAACCTCATCAATATATTTTAAAGCTTATTTGATATTAATGAATGGGCAGGATTATAATATGAATTCTTACAGAAAGTATCATTTAAATGACAAACTACACTCACATCACACTTATCTATACAATTAAGATGTTTTTCTAATTTTAATTTCCAGTTTCCCAGTGGTTGGTAGAGAATTTAGCCAAAATCCAGTGTTGTCTCGGTTTTTGATTTTCACTGTGAATATAAAATAAAGCTAGAAACTTAATTTTCCCTTACCCAGCTGCTGCTTAACGCACATCCTGCGACCGCGTTTAACACCACCGCCCCGTGTGGAGCAGGTGCACTTCCCCCTGAGCGCGGGAGCCAGGTGACTCGCAGACAGCGCACAGCCCGCACCGACCCGCACACTAGCGCCCGCGACCCCGCGCAAGCCCGCGCCGCAGCCGGCTTAGGTCTCGCCCACGCGGCTTCCGACGCACAAACCCCTCGCCGGACACCACACCCCGCCGCGACCCGCTCAGGGTCTCACCGGCGGAAGTCTCAGCCCATCCAGACCTTCCCCCCGCCCTTCAACAGCACTTCCGGAATCACTTCACCCCGTCGCGCGGCCCTTACGTCAGTCTCCGGCGTCGTCGCGTTGACGTCAGCGCGCGCGCGCCTCAGGGCTGTGGGCCATATCCCGGAGCTGTGGCGCAGAGGTAGCTGACAGCCGCAGCAGGCTTGTTAGCTGACGGTCCTCGGCTCAGCCGCTTGCGCTGGTCACGCTGGGTCTGGGACGGGATCTGTAGGACTTTGGAATTGATCGGCTTGGAACCGCATCCTCTGTATTCGCTGCCTTGAAACCCTGGGCAAGGTTCTTGGGTTTTCAACCGCAGATGAGGTGGTAATAAAAATCCCCCTAGGGTGGATATGAAGAAAGGGGAAATCATCGTGAAAAACTGGAGTGAGCGCACTCCAAGCTCTCGACATTTGTGGCGCCTGCACACGGACTCCTTGTCATCGTGAAGCGGACATTTAATACATATTTGAAATAAGGCAGAGAGATCCTCCATCTGCTGGTTAGCTCCCCGGATGCCAGCCCCAGCCAGGGCCTCCTCCGTGGGGGACGGACGCCCAGGAACGCAGAGCCATCACCTGCTACGTCCCGGGAAGCATGAGCAGGAAACGAACCGGAGCCGGGCTCGAGCCCAGCCCCTGCCACAGGCGAGGCGCGCGTCCCCAACCTCTGCCTAACAGCTGCTCTACAACAGCCGCCCCGGGCTGAAGTCGAGAAGCAGATGTGAACAGCGAGTTCCAGAAGGCGCCAAAGCCTCGGGGCGAATCGTGGAGTCTGTTTCTGAAAGCCGGCGGCTGCACGGGGACGTGTGCTCCCCAGTCGATGCAGGCCAGGGGTCAACCACATCCTGTTGGGAGCTCAGGACAAAGGCAAGCACTTGTTACGGAAGCCAGAACAAGCAAGGTTACGGAGCTTAATGTGAACAGTCCTTACCGATAACACTCTTACAGGGCTAGTTTTTGAGTAGATAGCAATGCAACTGGCCAGAAAAAACAGAGGACAGAGCGACCCAGGCCAGGCCACGGCTCACTTTAAATGCAGCAAAAACGGTAGGATGTGCAGCTTTGAGTAGGATCTCCAGAGAAAATAAGGCAGGTCCGAAGTGGCGAGTTCCATAAGCTGCGCGGGCGGGGCGGGCAGAGTCGAGCAAGGGAGTTGCCCTCATGGGCGACACCTGAGTTGCTACAGTAGGCGTCCAGGGCAATAAAGCGGTGCCCTGAGGTTTGGGTGTGGAACCAGAAGCAAGCAGAGGTGTTTTCTGCCGGTTTTGGGGGGGAGCATGTGGGAGCGCAAGGCGTGAGAGATGGCAGCTCAGTAAGGAAAGAACGGGGTGCGCTCTCATTCTCAGTTATGACCAAAAAACGTTTTGCAGGAATCTGGGAAACTTCTCCACTTCCCGACCACCTTTCTTGACCAGTGTCGCCCTGCGGGAGCCCGAAGCCCAAAAGGGTTCACTCGTAATGTCCCTCCAGAGAAACCACTGGGAAACTCCTGTGGGAGGGCCCGAGGGCCGCCCTTGGTCCGGAATCTGCACAGCCGGGCTGCAGTGCGCCTTAAATAGCTTGTGGCACGATGGGCCAAATAGGCCAGTATTTTAGGAGCTGCAGCTGCATTAGGCGTGCGTGGGCCCTCCCCACCAGACCCCACTTAAGATGCTTATCCTGGCAGGGGACTAACCCAGAGACCACCCCCAGGGGTGCTCTTCTGGGGCGGGGGGGGGGGGAGCAGCATCCCCTACAACCAGGATATGCCATGGCTATTAAAACTAACATGACCTATTGGGGGGAGGGGTCCCCCAAGATGTATCTTGTCTGTTTTTCTATTTGGAGAGGACACCGTCATCCACCCAGATGGCTGGTTAACAGCCTCACCTCTTTCTTGCCCTCTGTATCCAATTAGACCCTACGTCCTCCAGCGATCGCACATACTTAAAAGCTGATTATAAGTTCTTGAGTTCAGGGACAAGTTTTGTTGAAAATCAAGTGGAAGCAGAGAGTTGCAGAGGGTGCGGTGTCTCTAATTTTCCACTTCATTCTCCTGTTTAAAGTGTCTGGTGGGGCCAGGATTGTGGTACAGGGGGTTAAGCCGCCACCTGCCATGCCAGTGTCCCATAGCTGGTTTGCATGCTGGTCGCTCTGCTTTTCATCCAGCTTCCTACTAATGGCTTGGGCTGGCTGCACTGGGAGCGCTTACCGTGCAGGAAGAGCTGGAATCCTGCATCAGTGAGGTGGCAGAGGCTGGAAGGGTGCTGGTTGATTGGTCACTGTTGGATGGCTCCCAGAAGATTCAGAAGGCAGACCCGCAGCGCTTTCCTGGTGGGATCCACTGTCTTGCTAATTTGTCCACAGCAAAGACTGAAGCTGGGGTCAACACAGATGTTGGAGATAAAACCCACGCAGGCTTCCCTGGGAGTTCTGGATTGTGTGACGTTGATGCCCAGACCTTGGCTGGCTGGGGAGTAGATCTACTAACATCTGATGGTGTGACAGCATGAAGCGTTTGGTGAAAGTCGTCAGTACATGCCCTTGGCTCTGAACAGGACTGCAGGAGCATTGTCTACTCTCATAAAGTTGAAGGGGCAGGTGTTGTGCGGCGGGTAAGGCCCTGCAACATTGGCATTCCATGTCAGAGGTTTCAAGTCCTGGCTGCTCCACTTCCCATCCAGCTCCCTGCTGATGTGCCTGGGAAGGCAGCAGCAGATGGCCAGGTGTCAGGCCCCTGCCATCCACATGGGAGACCTGGCTTTGGTTTGGCCCAGCCCCAGCCACTGAGGCCATTTGGGGAGTGAACCAGCAGATGAAAGATCTCTTGCTCTCCTTCTCTCTCTGTAACTGCCTTTCAAATAAATAAATAAATCTTTAAAAAAGAAATGTGTCTGGTGTCCTCCAATACAAGGAATCCCGTCTTCAGCTCAGGCCGAGGGTGGTGTAGGATTTAACTCATTCCCAAGTGAACTTCCAGTCCTTTCAGTTGCCCTCTTTCCAGAACCCAATTTCTGAGCTTTGTAGGCAGGGGCACGGGGAGAGAGCCTGCAATACAAATGGGATTGCCTGCTGGCTTTGCTCACTGCTGTTTTAAATTTAGCCTTTCCACATCCATGGAGGCCTCTGCTATTGCTCCTAGAATAGTATTCCTTTTATCCCTTCTGCTCTTTCCCTGAGGGTCCATTACTCTTTACAGACTCTCTACTGTCATTTTCAGGGGATTCCAACAGGCAGCCAACATAAAGACTGTGTCTGAGACGCCATTTCCCCGTCAATCCAGAATGATCATTGTAACAGACAACAGCCTGATCAGTCAAGGCTCTCTGCTATGAGTAAGCGGCTTTGGTGGTTCCACGTTGCCTGCACCGTAACATTCAGATGCAGACAAATCTTGGGGCCAGTGTCCCCCACCCCAACCTCCACATTCCCCACACCTCTTCCTGTTAAGCTCCAGCCCCATGAGACGCGAGTAAATCTGAGCATACCAGTCCCTAGCATGTTTCCACACCTGCGCTTTGAACGGTCTCAGGTGGAAACGCCCCTTTCTTCCCCCTGCCGGCTTGAGGACAACACAGCTGAAACGTTACTCCTCTGCGGTGTTATTCCCCAAGTTCCACCTGAGAATTTGCCCATCGTCCTCTTACTCCATGAACTTCACATACTGTTGTGAGGGACCATCTGGGTGCCCACAAAGTCTTGCTAGATATGCCTAGATTACAAGGTCCTCTTTATCTAGTCACTTTGCAGCTGCCATCTTCCCCAAAGAGCAGGCCTGCTTCCACTTACTACCAAAGTAGTGGCCCCTGTAACGCTTCTGTAATGCGCCCGTGCACAGACATCCACCTGAGCCCTCCCTGCCACACCTCAGAATAAGACTGGGGGAGCATGGGAAACCAGAGCAAATAAGAATTTTTGGCTGCTGCTTTTGCCATGAGTAATAGTTTTTTCTTTGAACACAAGCTAGGAACAGGTGTTAAACAGGTGACAACCTCAGAACCTTCCCCTACAGTGACTTACATGCACATAGCACCCAGAACAGCTGTGTCATTTCCAAGACTCTTTAAGCTTAAAAATACAGTGACAGCAGGATTCATGTCTTACACACTTGTTTTCCCAATTTTTTAACTCCATCCACTCACCCTGTTCTATATGCAGGAAAGCGTCAAATGCGTACCGTGCACAGAGCTGATAGTACACCTACAGGCAAATCATCATCCCACCACAGGATCGGCCAGAGTGCCATCAGCTGACAGTTTGTGCATTCCACACATTTCACTACTTTGTCTAATTAGATAACATTCATCTGCTAATGTCTTTTTTTTTTTATTTGTTTCCAGAAAGAATTTTGAAAATTGTTGACCGTACTCTAGCGCAGGGTTAAGTTCCCGTGATGTGCTCTGTAGCAAAGTTCACAATTGGATGATGTGCATGGTGTGATTTGCTCTGACAGGGCTCGCCTGCTCAGGAGGCAGAAAGAAAATGGGCCTCTGGGTTCCTTCAGGCTTGGTGTTTTGACCAGGAAAAAAGAATGGAGAAGTCAGGCTGTTTGCATCTGACTGAGCCTATCAGAGTTCTCCTGAGGAGCAGAATCAATAGGATAAACCTAGCCCCACTGCTCACACACGATGGTGGAGCCTGACAAATCCAGCAAGCCACGCCACCGGAAATTCAGGTTGCATTAAAAATGTTTAAAAATACATATTTAAAAAATTTGACGGGGCTGGCACCGTGGCTCACTTGGTTAATCATCTGCCTGTGGTGCCGGCATCCCATATGGGTGCCGGGTTCTAGTCCCGGTTGCTCCTCTTCCAGTCCAGCTCTCTGCTGTGGCCCGGGAAGGCAGTGGAGGATGGCCCAGGTCCTTGGGCCCTGCACCCTCATGGAAGACCCAGAAGAAGCACCTGGCTCCTGGCTTCGGATCAGCACAGCGCACCGGCCGTAGTGGCCACTTGGGGAGAGAACCAATGGAAGGAAGACCTTTCTCTCTCTCTCTCATGATCTATAACTCTACCTGTTAAATAATAAAAGAAAGAAAAGCTGGAAGAAAACAATTAAACAAAAATTTGAAAGGCAGAGAGAGAGAGAGAGAGAGAGAGAGAGAGAGAATCTCATCAGCTCGTGCATCAGCTCGTTGATTCCCCGAATGCCTGCAATAGCAGGGCAGAGCCAGGCCAAATCCAGAATCCTGAACTCAAGCCAGGTCTCCCACGTAGGTGGCAGAGACTCCAGCGCTTGCGCCATCGCCAGCTGCCTTCCAGGGTGCACATCAGCAGGAAGCTGGAACCTGCAGCAGACAAGACTTGAATCCAGGCACTCCGATGTGGGATGCGGGCATCCCAAGCTGTCTCCACTGCTGTGTCAGACTCCCCCAGGTTGCAGGTTTCAGCTGTTTCCACAGGCCAGAGGGCTGGAAACAGGCACAATTCCAGTGTTGCAGGCTTGAAGACACTGTTTTAGGAAATCCATCTTTGCTCTAAAAGGTCTTAATCTGACTGGATGAGGCTCACCCATAGTATGCAGAGCAGCCTGCTTTACTCAGAAGTCTGCTGATTTAAATAAACACATCTAAAAAGACACCGGTCACAGCAACATGTAGACTGAGCCAACAATTGCGTACAACAGCCTAACCAAATTGTCATGTAAAATCAGCCATCACATCTTTCACATCTTTTTTTTTTTTTTTTTTTGGGACAGGCAGAGTTAGACAGTGAGAGAGAGAAACAGAGAGAAAGGTCTTCCTTTTTCCGTTGGTTCACCCCCCAAGTGGCCGCTACGGCCAGCGTGCTGTACTGATCTGAAGCCAGGAGCCAGGTGCTTCCTCCTGGTCTCCCATGAGGGTGCAGGGCCCAAGGACCTGGGTCACCCTCCACTGCACTCCCGGGCCACAGCAGAGAGCTGGACTGGAAGAAGAGCAACCGGGACAGAATCCGGCGCCCCTACCGGGACTAGAACCCGGTGTGCCGGTGCCGCAGGCGGAGGATTAGCCCACTGAGCCGCGGAACCGGCCAACCATCACATCCTTCACAACTATCAGTGTGTTGAGGCTGAAGCCACACAAGCGGTCTTGCAGGATTGAGGAAGACTATTTAGATCTCTCTGCACATTTTTCACTTTGCCAAATGCAAAGAATCCAGTATTCTTGTATATCCTATGAGAGACTCTGGTTCCTGCCATCCAGCAATTTCCCAACTACACAAGACAATGTCTGCACCCAAAGTTAGGGGTGTGTACTGCATGTCGCAGCTTGTCGTCTCAGGCTGTTTTTGGAAGAGGCTTAGATGTTCACTTTGACCTGTTTTACCAACAGACTGGAAGTTTTCCTGAGAGGAGCTGTCTGGGTTATACTGGAAACCAAGAAAGGAAGCATTAGAAATTCAAGGTATAAGGGCAGGATTTTGAGGCAATCACGCTTGGAATGTTTGAATATGTCCTCTACTCATCCAGACAGACTTTGTCAAATTCCAAGGCAGGAAAATAAGAGATGTCCTAAAATTGGCTAAAACACTGTGTAAGTATCTAAAACATATTAACAGAAAAAGGGTAAAATGCAGGTGCAGTACAGAGTACAACTGGAAAGAGTGGTGACCTTGTTTTCTAACTTTCAAAGAATATGCACCTATTATTTTGATTATTTTTTAAGATTTATTTGAAAGGCAATTAGAGAGAGATCGATCTTCAGCCGTGGTTCCACTCCCCAAATGGCCGCAATGGCTAGGGCTGAGCCAGACCAAGGCCAGTAGCCAGGAGCTTCTTCCTGGTCTCCCACCCAGGCCATTAACAGGGAGCTGGATCAGAAGTGGAGCAGCCAGGACTCGAACCAGAGCCCGTATGGGATGCTGGCACTGCAGGCAGCAGCTTTACCCACTGCACCACAATGCCAGCCCCTGCATTTTTTCTTTGGTTCCATTCACTAATTATTTAAAATACACTTTATTTTTTGGAGCAGTTTGAGGCTCATAGCAAAACTGAGTTGAAGGTACAGACACTTCCCAACCATGTCACGATTTATATTCTTTTATACGCAGTCTCCCCAACCAGAGCGGCCTATTTTTTAAAATTAATTTATTTGAAAGAGAGAGCGGCCAAGGCAGAGAGAGAGAGAGAGAGAGAGAGGAGGGAGGGGTCTTCCATCCACTGGTTCACTCTCCAAATGACCGCAATAGCTGGAGCCAGGAGCTAGGAGCTTCTTTCAGGTCTCCCACGCTGGTGCAGGGGCCCAAGGACTTGGGCCATCCTCCACTGCTTTCCTAGGCCATAGCAGAGAGGTGGATCAGAAGTGGAAGTGGAGCAGCTGGGACCAGAACCTCCAGAGGCCCATTTGTTACAATTCACTTTCACCGCCCTAGAAACCCTTTGTTCTGCCATTCATCCTTCCCTCTTTCACCCGTTTTTTCCCCTTAAGGTTTATTTGAGAATCTATTTGGAAGGCAGTGACGAGAGAGATCTTCCATCCTCTGATTCCACTCCCCAGATGCTTGCAATAGCTGGGCCCAAATCAGGAGCCAGGAACTCCATTTGGGTCTCACACAGGGTGGCGGCAACACCGGGCCATCCCCTGCTGCCTCCCAGGCCTACCAGCAGGGAGCTGGATTGGTGCAGGGCATGAGATAGCGCAGATGGCGCACTCTGTTCCGGGGCGCGGGTGACGCGGGGCTGTGACCTTTCGTGAGGACGGCGCTGCGGCGGCTCGGCTCAGAGTCTCGGGCTGCGGCGTCCCGTCTTTTCATCGCCACCATGAACAAGAAGCAGCAGCCGTTCCCGGCCATGCCTGCCCCGCTCGGCTGTGTGCTGGGGCTGGGCCGGGGGCTACCGGCTTCACCACCTGGCCAGACATCGGACCTGCCCGGGATGCCAACGACCCCGTGGATGATGCCATGCACCCCCCCAGAGGACCGCTGGGGCCCAGATGAAGAACCAGGCTGCCGCCGACGACGACGAGGACAACGGCTATGCGGGCAGCCTCTTCTCCAGCGGGCCCTACGAGGACGAGGAGGTGGACGCCATCTACGCAGCGCTGGACAGGATGGCGCCCAGAGGACGTTAGACGCGCGGAGTCCGAGTTGTTTCCAAGAAAACTTGATTGGGCACAGGCATCAGGAGATGACGTCAGTGCGTAGACCCTATGGAAACCGAGTGCACGACAGGGTAACCTTTAAAACGATTGGCTGGCTTCGCTTCCCCTCCCCTATAGCTTTGTGGTTTTTGCTTTAAAAGGGGCTTACTGCGCGACAACAAATGAGTCCCGGCATGGATCGTCTCTGGGATCAAGGGGGGCTGGGGAACAGGCGAGCGGCGCGCTTCCCTTTCCTCGGACCCGGTCCATCTTCGTTCGGTGGACTAAGACCCTGCACGTGACGCAGGATGCTGCTTCCCTAGTTTTGCTTCTTGCAGAGTGTCATTCAGGCTGGCTTCTACCATTGAGTAACAGGCATTGAAGTTTCCTCTGTGTCACTTCGTAGCGTCATACTTTATTATAATATCCAGTTGACTGTACATACTGTAGCGCACTGGCTCACTCCCCCAAACGCCTGCAACAGCCAGGGCTGGATCAAGCTGAAGTCAGGAGCTAGCGACTACAGGTACCCCTAAGGATGGCAAGGACCTAACTACAGCCCTGCTGCTTCCTGGGGTGTGCGCTGCAGGAAGGTGCAGTCAGGACCGGGGCTGGGATTTGAACCCAGGGACTGGGAGGTGGGATGTGGGCGTGCCAAGGGGCATCTTATTGGCGAGCGAAACAGCCACCCTTGCTTTTTCTAACAACTTTATTTGTCCCTCATTTTCAACAAGTGGTTTTTCTGGTTTATAAGAGATGGTCTATTTGTTGAAAGATCAGAGAAGTAAGATCTAACTAGCTGGCACCAAGAGTGGAGCCTACATGTCTGTGTGCTGTTCACCGACAAGTACTTACTAGAAGTCACCGTTTTTCAAAAAGCACATGTGTGTCCAAATACACTTATTACATATATTTGCGACCAAGGCATCACAGAGAGGTCACAAAAACATAGGCTGAGTTCAGTTCACGATATAGGTCCTGTGAAAACACAGGTCTCATCTGCGCAGTTTACAATTTTCATACAAATTTAAAGCAGTTAAACAACATTTGAAACTACATCAGTTAAAAAAAAAAAAGAACACAAACCAAAACCCTGTAATTTAATTCAGGTGTCAGAAACTTGTGAAATCCAAGTCCATGTTGGAGAAAAACGATGAAATCTGTAGCATCAGCCAACTGTCACAGTATTATCTTCCTTTATGAAAGCATCCCAGTGAAATGAACTACGAAGAACATGAGGGTGATCAGAGATTTGGGTGTAGTACTCCCTGAGTGTCTTGTTTTTCACAAGTCAAAGGTAAGGAAGGCCAGGTCACACGTGAGTCCCGGGGCTCGCCGCCTCGGTGCTGCACCCCCGGCATGGTCCCAGGGCTCTGCACTGCCACTCTGCCGGCACCTGAGCCGCTGCTGCAGGACACCAGGTGATACGCCAGATGAAGACCAACAACTGCAGCCACTAATAAATATTAAACTTCTAAGCAGATCTGAATGCTATATACGTCACACTGTGGTAACATAACAGAAACAAACACTTTTATGTTTAAAAAATCTTACAGAAGCAGGGTTGATGGGCAAGTCACCTTAACCTAAATTTCAGATGTTATAAGAAAAATATTTTAAAAAATCAAATTCTCTAGATGCTAATCAAGCAGAAAAGAGTGATTGTAAGCGGATGCTTAGGCTGGCGCCGTGGCTCACTAGGCTAATCCTCCGCCTTGTGGCGCCGGCACACTGGGTTCTAGTCCCGGTAGGGGCGCCGGATTCTGTCCTGGTTGCCCCTCTTCCAGGCCAGCTCTCTGCTGTGGCCAGGGAGTGCAGTGGAGGATGGCCCAAGTCCTTGGGCCCTGCACCCCATGGGAGACCAGGATAAGCACCTGGCTCCTGCCATCGGATCAGCGCGGTGCGCCGGCCGCGGTGGCCATTGGAGGGTGAACCAACGGCAAAGGAAGACCTTTCTCTCTGTCTCTCTCTTTCACTGTCCACTCTGCCTGTCAAAAAAAAAAAAAAAAAGTGGATGCTTAGATATGGGCATTCAAATGTCAAAAAAGTAGCTGTCTCCTTGATTCTTAAAAAAATGTTGGTCCCTACTATATTTCTTCCTGATCATTAATTGCAATTGTACATATGTGTGTATACGTCTGTATATATATATAGATATATATAAATGTATATATGCTTATGAGTGATTAAGTACTTCATTCAAAGAGCATGATAGTTAAGCAAAACTAAGGAGAAACGGTTTGTTGGGATCCAAACATTGTCTTCATTTCAGATGTGCTGGGTTATTCGCTGGGCTTATAGCATCAGGGCACTAAGTGTGACAAATCATATTTTGTGGTCGAATGTAGGAAAATCTTTTCCATAGGCAGATTTTTACAACAACCCCAAAGATAGATGCCTAACTGTATTTCCCCTCCTCCACATGAAACCTTAGCTGCAGACTAGTTTCAAAAGAGCTGGTAACTATTAGCTTTCAAAAGTTAAAAATCACAAATTTAGGGGTGTGATGTTGGCTGTAATCACCAGGAGGACTTATTCAAAGTCCCAATAATTATTTAACAATAAAAATACCCCACTACACAAGTGGGGAAACTGAGGCACAAAAAGATGATTTTCGTTTTTGCTTTATACAGTTTTGTCTAAGGCTAGATAGGGAAGCCAAATTCCTAACCATAGCCAGAACTATGGAGGCTAGCCACCTGTGGGGTCTGATACAGTCAAACTTTGCATGAACTGCTATATTTAACTCACCTGTCCTATCTGCCTCCTATCTCCTGTCTTAGTCTAACATCTTACAAACCCTTTAAAACATGGATCTGGCACGTGCCACTTAGCAGCTGCAAGGGCCTGCCACTGCTTATAGCAAAAAAACAAAAGAAAAAACAAAAAAAAAAACAAAAACAACCACTGTACATTGCTGTATGAAATGCAATTAGCAAGATTCAATTATACACTTTGGTAACCTTTCCAGAAAAAAACCCCAAAAGTTGTACGGGTACGCAAGCATGTGGCGTCTTCTATTGTACCAACTGAGTACCGGTAAATAGGAAGGGTGTAGCCGCTGGCACTTCTTGACCAGCTGTCCGTTGCGGCAATGCATCTGCCCGACGAGCTACCATTCCAGTTCGACAGGGTATTTGCCAGTGAGACAGGCTGTGCAGTGACCGTTCTTTTCAAAGCTCTCCGGGCCAATCCCGTTTTCTTGAATCACATCGTGCTTTTTCACTTTCTGCTGTTTAAATTCTATCTCCTCTCGTACAGATGAAACCAGTCCTTCTACCGACAGATACACAACACTGTTGGCTCCTAAAGGAGGAAAACGAGAAGATCGAGAAACTTCCTTGAAAAGCAGTAATTGGTTAAATAGAGAATAGTTTTAGCCAATTAAAAAAAGAAAAAGAAAACTAGGGGGGTAAAGGCGGGCAGGTCCCTGGGGATGCCTGCTCCTCTGTTCAGTGCCTGGATCCGAGTCCCAGCTCTGCGCCTCATCACAGCTTCTTGACAATGTGCCCTGTGGGCACAGGGGGTGGCTCCAGTGTTTGGAACCCTGCCACCCACGTAGGAAACCCAGATTAAGTTCCTGACTTCAACCCATCCCCAGCTATTGCAGGCATATAGGAAGTCAAAGTTGAAAGATCTTTGTCTCCCTCTCTCTTCCAAATTAAGTCAATAAAAATTTTTAAAAATCAGTAAATTCCAGAGACTTTATTTTTTAAATTTTGAATTGGAATTAGGAGATAACATAATTTAAACCAGCAGGGAATGCTAAAAGTCTAGAATGGATGTAAGGGCTTCAGAAATAGTGTTCTCAAGTAAGAAAACAGATTTAGGGGTCAGGAAGATCGAGCTCACATTTACGCTCAAAGTCACTCTCCCTAAGTCTACTTTCTCAAGAGTTGGGGAAACACTGCCCAGCTGCAGTGTTACTGTGATGGTACTGTAATAAAGATAATGCATACAGCACAGTTTGGGGCAAAAAATGAGTGCTCCCAATATAATAGCCATCAGTGATGTTCAAAATACTTGGCCAAAGGCACAGGCATGACCACAAAAGGAGATGCCAGCCACAACCACATGGCATACCAAAAGTACAATGGCCAACATCAGGTGACAGTTAAATATAATTTAGGGGCTGGCGCTGTGGCATAGCAAGTAAGGCCACTGCCTGCAGTGCTGACATCCCATATAGGCACTGGTTCAAGTCCTGGCTGCTCCATTTCTGATGCAGCTCTCTGCTATGGCCTGGGAAAGCAGTGGAAGATGGTCCAAGTCCTTGGGACCTTACACCCATGTGGGGGACCTGGCGGAAGCTCCTGGCTTTACATTGGCCCAGCTCCGGCAGTTGCAGTCATATGGGGGAGTGAACTAGCAGATGGAAGACTTCTCTCTCTATCTTGGGGTTAACTCTGCATTTCAAATAAATAAACACATCTTTAAAAAAATAAATAAATATAATTGATACTCTCTTGACTTTGGAAGGAAGATGTCTTATCCAATTTTAATCTCCAAGTTTCCTTACTTCATTGTTAAAGTTAAGCCTATTGGGGCTTGTATTATGGCACAACAGGTTAAACCACTGCCTGCAATGCCAGCATCCCATATAAGCATTGGTTTAAGTTGAAGCTGCTCCACCTCCAATCCAAGTCCTTGCTAATGCACCTGGGAAAGCAATGGGAATTGGCCCAAGTGCGCCAGCTCCTGCCACACATGCGGGAGACCCAGATGAAGCTCCTGGCTCCTGACATCAGCCTGGCCCAGACCATGGAAAGTGAACCAATGGATGGAATATCTCACCCTATCCCTGTCTCTGCCTCTCAAATAAATAAATAAATAAATCTTGAAAAAAAAAAAAAAAAGATGAGAGCTAGCTTGTGGTGAAGCAGCTTAAGCAACGTCATGTGTGGATACCAGCTGGAGTTTCAGCTGTTCCACTTCTGATCTAGCTCACTGCTAATGGCCTGGGAAAGCTGCAGAGTATGGCCCAAGTGTTTGGGCCCCTGAACCTACATGGGAGACCCAGATGAAGTTCTTGGTTTTAGCCTGGCCTAGCCCTGGCCATCGTGGCCATCTGGGGAGTGAACCAGCCGATGGAAGACCTCTCTCTCCCTATCACTCTCTAACTCTTTCAGATAAACATATAAATCTTTAAACAAGAAAGATACTTCATAAGCTTTACTTTTCTGATTTGTGAGCACATCCAAATTATTCTGTTAGAGTCTGTAATACAATTGTTTTTGTGTTTCCTGCCCTCGGCATGGCCCAGTACCCCGCATAGCATTCTCTGTGGTGTCTACACATGCCTGTCGCTCTGACTAGTGCTGAGCACTTGGTTAACATATGCAATAACTACTTTTAGCAGATACTGGGCACCATTTCTTATTAACGGTATAAGCACTGATGAGCTTTGGACTTTCTCTGTTAATACATAAAGTTTACAGGAATTTTAATACCTACCAAGATATTCTGCAAGACTATCAAATTCTGGCTTATTGGCAATAAGCTCTTCTTTTGTGGGAATGTTTATTCCCATGAAGCACGGATATCTAATTGGTGGTGAAGCTACTCGAATGTGTACCTAGAAAAGAAATAATTTTATACTCATCGTAAGAACACAATTCTCTTTCATTCACCAAATGGAACATAAAATTATTTCACAGAATATTTAGCAACAATATCTGAGTAAAAAAGAAACTACAAAATCTGTTTTACTGAAAAACAGGATGAAAAAGAATCCTAAAAAAAGCATGTGGTAAACACAGAATTGCGGTGCTGAGTCAGAACCACTGAGAGAATCGATCTAGTACTGCAGAACCCTGCGTGGGCAGCTCCACTCCAGATGTCACAGCATCTGGACACTAACTGTGCAGGTCAGCTACCTGGAAGCGCTTTCTCTACAGAGCTGCCCACTGTCTTCTGTCGCCCATTCACAGATTTCTTTCTGTAGATCCCTGCCTCTCATTTAACTAAATGACATCCTTCCTGGCACCACTTTCATGTTCTCTTATAATTAACGAATGGGCTTTCTGCCTAATTCTTATTTTACTATTTAAAAAAATATGATTGAGTGGGTTACAACAAATACCTTATTACTATAACAGAATTATTTCAGTCTATTATCTTCTGCCTTCTGTCAGGCACATTGAATTGGCCCTAATAATCAGTGCCCACATTTTTTTATTTTTAAACTTTCTTATACCAGGAAGGATTTTCCCACGTCACGATCTTCAGAACAATGTTGTTTGTTTGTTTGTTTTCTTTGACAGGCAGAGTGGACAGTGAGAGAGAGAGACAGAGAGAAAGGTCTTCCTTTTGCCGTTGGTTCACCCTCCAATGGCTGCCACGGCCGGCGCGCCGTGCTGATCCAATGGCAGGAGCCAGGTGCTTCTCCTGGTCTCCCATGCGGTGCAGGACCCAAGTACTTGGGCCATCCTCCACTGCACTCCCGGGCCACAGCAGAGAGCTGGCCTGGAAGAGGGGCAACCGGGACAGAATCCGGCGCCCCGACCGGGACTAGAACCCGGTGTGCCGGCGCCGCTAGGCGGAGGATTAGCCTAGTGAGCCGCGGCGCCGGCCAGAACAATGTTTTTTAACAGCTGTATCATATTCATCGCACTGATCTATCAAGGTACAAAACTCTCACATGGGTGCAGGGCCCAAGCACTTGAGCCATCTTCTACTGCTTTCCAGGACATAGCAGAGAGCTGGATTGGAAGTGGAGCAGCCAGGACTTGAACTGGCACCCATATGGGATGCTGGCACTGCAGGTGGAGGGTTAGCTCACTACTTCATAGAGCTGGCCCTTTTTTTCTTTAAAAAAAGATTTACTTATTTGAAAGTAGATGGGAGGAGGGAAGGAAAGAGAGAGCTCCTCCATCTACCAGCTTGCTCCCTCAAAAGGCTGCAGTGGCCTGGGCTGGGCCAGGCCGAAGCCAGGAACCAGGAGCTCCCTCCAGGTCTCCCATGTAGGTGCAGGAGCCCAAGCTCTTGGACCATCCTCCTCGGCCTTCCCAGGCACACTAGCAGGGAGCTGGATGGAAAGTGGAGTAGCCGGGACTTGAACCAGCACCCCTATGGGATGCTGGCATCTCAGGCAGTGGCTTAACCCATAACACTGGCCCCGAAGGGATCTTTTTGTTGAGCAGTAGGTCTCAACAGCGGGCTTAAATTTTCATTAAAGCATGTTGGAGACAGATGTGCTGTCATCTAGGCTTTGCGGCTCCACTATGAACGCAGCACCGACAGGCAGAGGGTTTCAGACTTTTCACCCTAAGGTCCTAGCCCGACAAGAGGGCCGGCCTGTGCTCTGCAGCCAGGCACCGCCTCCTCCTCAGCCGTGAAAGCGCTAGATGGCGTCCTCACCCACTGAGAGGCTGCTTCACCTGCTCTGAGCTCCAGGGCTCAGTGTGGCTACCTTCCTCGCTCGGCTCAGCTAGACCCTCATAACCTGCGGCAGCTGCTGCCCCAGCACTGGCGACTTCACCCCGGGTCGTACTTTGTGGAGATGGATTCCTTCCTCAAACCTCGTAACTCAGTTCCTCTTAGCCTCGGACTTTTCTTCTGCAGCTTCCTTCTCTCTCAAGCCTTCACTGAGCTGAGGAGCCAGAACCCTGCTCTGCATCCGGCTTCAGTCCAAGGAGAGGGCTAGTCCGATCTTTCTGTTCTGAGCAACCAAACCTTCTCCGTGGCAGCAACAAGGCTGCCTCACGTTCACGCCTGCCCCCCTCAGCTTCATCATTTCTATGCTTTCAAGCGAGCAGCAAATGACTTCCTTTCTCTTGAACACTGAACGACCACTGCAGGGCTATCCATCCTAATTTCAATACTGTTGTGTTTCAGGGACCAGAGAGGCTTGAAGACAGGGAGAGAGATGAGGGACCCAGCGGATGGATCAGAACACACAACGGTTAGGCAGTAATTTTGCTATCTTAGAGCACACTTCATGGTGCCCGAGAATAATTTTAATCGTAACATCAGATAGCACCGACTACAGATCCACCAAGACAGAAACACTAACAATGAAAAAGTCTTGAGGCCAGGGGTCGTGGTGCAGTGGGTTAAGCTGTTGCCCGGGGTTATCAGAGCCTGCACCCTGTATCAGAGTGCCCGGGACAGAGTCCCACCTTTACTTCCAGTGCAGCTTCCTGCTAACAGACCCAGGAGGCAGCCAATGATGGACCCGGTGCTGGGCTTCCGGTCATTCACATGGGAGACCCGGATGGAGTTCCAGGCTCCTGGCTTGAGCCTGGCCCAGCCCCAGTTGATGCAGGCATTTAGGGGTGTGCATGAGGTGACAGAAGATCTCTGTTAATTCTGCCTTTCTAAAAAGCAAACCAGCAACTCTTCTTGGATGTGAGATGAGGACAGGCTATTGGAAAAATGGTGCTGAGAGATTTAGTCCACATGGGGTTGCAGCCAACCTTCAATGTGTAAAGAAATACGGTATCTGTGGAGTGGAAAAAAATGGGACCCAATAAAACTAGATATGTCAGTATGTCAACACAAGTATCAAAACACCATGTGGTATACCAGGAATATATACATGTTTGTTGTCAATTTAAGTGATACAAAAAATGTGAGTCAAATTTATTACCTTGGGGATTGGTTTTATGTCTTCAAATAGTAAAAGTAATCAAAACCCTACAGATTTAAAAACATTCTGTTTTTTTGTTGTTGGTCTTTTAGTTAACTTTGTGAAAATTTAGGCTTTTATAGTGAGCTTTTTAATCCACTACGGATTACATCTAGTGTAAGAGTGAGTATTAATTACTACTATAAGTTCTCCAAGTTGCTACATATCTATCACTAAAATAACCTGATAGAAAAATAATTTAAATTCATTATATTGAACTATTCATTTTGTTTCATTATACTGAATTGCCATCTTTATGCCAGTATTATTTGTTATCTGCCAGTGCTTTTGGGTAAATTTTAATGACTCACCTCTTTTGCGCCAGATTCTTTGAGCAATTTGATGATGGGTGAGATAGTGTTGCCTCTCACAATTGAATCATCTACAAGAACAATTCTTTTGCCTTTAAAGTTATCCGACAGTACTCCGAATTTTTTGGCCACGCCCAGCTGTCTTAACCTCATGTTTGGTTGAATGAAGGTTCTTCCCACGTACCGGTTTTTACACAGCACCTCCACGTAGGGCAGTCCGCACTGAAGAGAGGAGACAAAGGGACGGTGAGAGCAGCACACGGCTTCTCCAGACCGTGCTGCCGCTACAATACGCGCGTGACACTTCAAAACGCGGCTGTAACTCGGGACTTTTCATCATCGGATTACAACTGTGCTTCAGGACTAAAATGGGTGGAGGAACCCACTGACAGTAATACACTTGGTGGGAAAGCCAATTCATTCTGCTAGAGTTTGCTGTAATTGTTAACGCTGCTCTCTTGTACAGTGTTATTCCTCTGTCTTGGAAGGGAACCCTAAGTAGCCGAAGACAAGACAAGTAATGAATTACTATCAGAAAAATTCACATATTTAGAAATTATAGAAGAAATTAAAACCTGTAGGCTCAGAAGAGGATTCAGCCATTTCTCAAGGCGGCTTTCCCTAAAATGTCAGCATGTTGTCTCTTTCAGAGCTGATGCACTGCACCACCTGCCATGGTTTGGATGTGGTTTGTGCCCTAAGGGCTCCTGTGTCGGGCTTGGTCCTCGGTGTGGCAGTGTTGAGGTGGTGTGGAAACTTGATGGTTGGGGCTTGGGCTAGGCACTGGCTGAGCAGGTAGGAAGGGCACCACGTGCCACACCTGAGTGCCTGGGTTGCAGCTCCCAGCATGGTTCCTGACTCCAGCTTTTTGCTAATGCAGCCCCGGGAGGCAGCGATGACGGCTCGGGAAGCTGGGTTCCCGACACCAACACAGGAGACAGGGTTAAGTTCCAGGCTCCAGCTTCACTGGCCTTGTTCCCCACTTCCCCCACTTCCAGAACCACGACCTCAGCCATGTTAGGCATTTGGGGAGCAAACCAGAGGATGGGAGCTTTCTGTACTTCTCAAATAAATGGAAACAACAACAACCAAAAAAAAAAAAAAGAGGTGAGGCCGAGTGATAGGTCTGTCTCTGTGAGCCCTGTGCTCAGAAGAGATCAAGGTGTTCAGAGTGAGCAGTGGGTATTATACCCACCCCAGGACTACAACATTATAGAATCTACCTGATTAAGAAAAATGAAAATAAACATGCACTAAGAACATTAAACAAAAGAACATCATTACCTTTATCATTACCCATACTCAGTAGGGAGCAGATAAACTGGCAGCTTGTGAGGGTTCCTCAACAGCACATTGTAATACGCAAGTATACACTGAATATCCCTTATCTGAAACGCTTGGTAACAGAAATGCTCTGCATTTCACATTTGGAACATTTGCACATTTAAGCATGTGCAACTACAAGTACAGGAACAGAACCATAATTCCTCTTATGCACATGGCCTGATGATAATCTTATACAATATTTTTAGTGTACCTGTGCTTTGAATGAGACCTGTAACATGAGGTCATGGGGGTAATTTTCCACTTGTAGCATCATATCAGTGCAAAAGAAGTTTTGGATAATGGACCATGTTGGACTTTTGGAACAGAGATGCTCAACCTGTATTACCACTAAATTCTACAGATAATTAGAAATAGATGCTCTTTTTTTTTTTTTTTTTAAAGGGGGAGAGGTCAAATTTCCCAGTCTTTGGTTAAACCCTTTTGGTAAACTTCACTGGAACAGTGCTGTTGGATGAAAAGGCTGGAAAATAAAAAATTCTTGTAAAGGAATCAGCAGTCATTGATGAGCTCCTCCCTCAAGGTGCCAGGATCTCTCTCTCGCTGCCAGGGAAGCAAGGCACTGCACGAGGACCAGGAGCACACACCTTAGCTGCGTAACCGAGGGCAGCGGGCGTTGCCGACTCTGGGACAGTGCTGACCAGATCTGCATCCACGGGGGCTTCGGTTGCCAGCTGCTGACCGCAACGGTACCGGACTGTATAGACCATCTGGTCTGGGATGTTTGGGAAAGAAACAGGTTATTTTGGGTTAGCACAATACAACGTTGCCATTTTAAAAAGCTAGTACTAGAACTCCAGAGACTGAGTATGAAAAGGAAAGCAATACAGACAAAACACACCAGAGTGGAAACACACAAACTGGGCGTTTCAATTATGTAGTTTCTTAAAAATCTGATCTTAAGGGGATGACACTGTGGTGCAGCAGGCTAAGCTGTTTCCTACAATGTCGGGGTGTTGCTGGTTTGAGTCCCAGCCGCTCTACTTCCAGTCCAGCTCCCTGCAAATGTGCCTGGGGGAGTAGTGGAAGATGATACAAGTACTTGGGCCTCTGTGGGGAGCAACCGAGACTAGACTAAATTACTGGAACTGCTAGGACTGATTCTGTGCATCTGCTCTCCCACAATATGGCGCTGAGAGACAGCAAACAACTTCTTCCACACAGCTGCCTCACCAATCTGACTGATAAGCTGCAGGAGCTGATCCTGTTCCTGACTGGAGGAGAGCAGCGTGCTCAGTGTGTGGGTAGCAGAGTTGGGATTGGTGGAAGAGGACTATAAAGGAGGAGAGACAACATGCACCGGGAAAACATCTGAGGAATATCTGAGCAACCCCTGAGAGAGCCGGCTGGCGGTGTGCCGCTCCTCCGCCACAGGCCTCCACGTGGGAAACTCAGATGGAGTTCGAGGCTTCTGGCTTTGGCCTGGCCCAGCCACAATCGTTGCAGACAATTTTGTGGTCAATCAGCAGATGGAAATGTGCTCGCTCGCTCGCTCGCTCTCTCTCTCTCTGTCTCTTCCCCTCTCTCCCTGGTTCTGCCTTTCAAATAAATAAATCTTTAAAAACAAATTTGACTTTAATATAAATCTGAAAATCATAATCCTTACACCCAAAAGAAAAACTCCAAAAGTTAAAAGATTCAAAGAAAAGAGATTTACTTACTTTCAAACATACTATCTGGTCTTGCAAAATACACATATTCAAAGATACAAAAAGCCACTGGGTTTCCTTCAGATCTTGGTATAATGTCAAGAGTTCGAATGTTATGTCTGGATATTTCCACAATTTCTCCAGGCAAGACTTCACGGTAGTACCTTGGGAAACAATGTTTGATGAGCAGTCTTTAAGGTTGATGATAACATCAGTTATAAAGCAGTCTTCTCCCTCACAGAGCAAAAACAGATCCATTCAATGGAAAGCCTAGAAATGGCTTTTTATAAAAAAGTAATATGCCTCCAGGAATAATTTCTATAGAACTCTCTTTTATCCCTAAGGTCTAATTTCAAATTTTAAAAAATAGGAGCCCTAACTTTCACTGATTTTTGAAAGGATAAAGGGAAAAGAGAACATTTTTAATCAAAATTTATTTTTCTATTGTGACTACTGCTTATTAAGGAAGCTCTTCCTTTCTAAAATAATCACATATTTTGAAATTAACATGCCAGTTTCTGAAATATTTAAGTCGATGAGGGCAGGCATTTAGCCTAATGGTTCATCAAGAAGTCAGTTAAGATGCTGTGTCTCATACTGGAGGTCTCCAGTTCAATACCCATCTCTGGCTCCTCAGCACAGTTTCCTGCCAATGCAGAGACCCTGGAGGCAGAGGTCTAATTGCATCATCGCCACTCATGTGGGAGACTTGGAATGAATTCACTTCCCCCAGCTTGAGCCCCAGTCAGGAGTTGTTGTGGGCATTTGGAGTCAAACAGTGGATAGGAGCTTGTTCTATCTCTGTCTCTCAGCCTATTAAATACATCCAAAATAATACATTAATAACATCAGTGTAACTGCTGAGCACAATGTACATGAGAAAATGCCATATGTTCTCTTGCAGACATCAGAAAGAAAATTGTCATGTAAATGTCCAAAGAAAGACTGCTCATCAGTGTGGAAAAAGACAATATGCTGACGGAAGAACAACTTACCTTGCACCGATCGATAAAAAGCTACAAGATTCTGAAGACACTACCCATCCTTCTGTTTCTGAGGTTTTTTTCTCTGTAAATCACAAGATAATCAATTCAGCTAATGAACTCAAGGAATTAAAACAGACGCTATTTTGAAAATTGTTAAACATCAGGAGCATACAAAGCTCATAGAAGAGCCATTTCTATGACATTAATAGCACATGGATCCTCTTTTGACTTGCGCCAAAGATGATCTTCTAGTATTATGATTTCACGGTTTCAGTAAAATAGCTAAGTCAAAAAGGAAAAAAAAAAACTGGGCAAAGGACATGAACAGATCATTCCAACAAGAAAAACAACAGGACTAGCCACTAAACACCCTGAGCAGCACCATGAGGTTCATTACCTTTATCATTAATATCAGAAACTGGAATAAGGCGGCCGATGCACAGAGGACGATTTCCGTAAGGGTCTCGCACAGCATAAATCACATCTCTGTGCATGATAAGCAGCGAGTATGCCGTGGGTGCTTCCTTCATCAAGTTTTTAATCCTGGAATTAACGACATAATGGACCGTGGAACTGCAGTTGCAAACACGTGCGAGGCAAAGCTCTTATTACTGGGGCTCCAAGTTCAGCCCAGTTTTAGTATTACCTGGCTACCCAGTCTGGGGTGTCGTCTTGTTCCAGGGGAGGCGTATATGCCAGTAACTGGGTGATCATCTCACTGTCAGAACTTGTTGACAGGCCAATGCCATGGCGCAGAAGCTATCCAGAAAGAACAGTTCAGTCATTAGGGGGAGGCTCGCCCCCACCCCTTGCCATAACAGAAAGAAATCAGGTGGTCTGAGGAGGCTCAGTAAAATCCTGCATCCCACTAATAAACGGGGCATGTTTTAAATGGAAGCCCATTGCTGGAGTGAACAGGAGGCCTCTGAAGGTTCGGAGCAGAGAAAATGAACCCTTGAGCCCTGGGAGGCAGCAGCAGGGGCTTAAGAGGTCTCCTGCCACCCTTGTGGGGAAGTCTGTCATGAGTTCCCAGCTCCCAACTCTGGCCTGGCCCAGTCCCTGTTGTTGTGGGCATTTGGGGAGCAAACCAGTGGGTGGGAGCTCTCCTGTTCTGTCTCTCTACCTCTTCAGGAAATGAAAATTCTAAAAAGACAAAAGGCTTTCAGGAATACACAGAAAAGCTTTTGAGGACTGAAGTTTAGGGCTGGCGTTCGGCACAGGAGGGTAAGCCAGCACCTGTGATGCCAGCACCAGGAGCCCATATGGGTGGTTGTTCCACTTCCCATCCAACATCCTGCTAATGCACGTGGGAAACAATGCGAGATGGCAAAACTTAATCGAAAATTGATCTCTATAAAAATAATAATGGGAAGAGAAGAGGGAGGAGGAAGAAGGGCAGGAGGATGGGTGGGAGGGAGGTGGGGGGAAGAAGCATCACGTTCCCAAATCTGTATATATTAAATGCATGAAGTTGTATTCTTAAACAAAATAAATTCTAAAAAACCCAAAAAACAACGGAAGATGGCCTAAGTGCTCGGGCCCCTGCCACTCAGATGGAGCTCCAGGTGCTGGCTTTGGCCTGGCCTAGTCCCAGCTGTTGCAGCCACTTGGAGAGTGAACCAGCAGATGAAAGATCTCTGTCACTCTGTCAAATAAACAAAAAAAGAAAAAGAAAAAGAAAAAGAAAAAGAAAAAGAAAAAGAAAAAGAAAAAGAAAAAGAAAAAGAAAAAGAAAAAGAAGGAAGGAAGGAAGGAAGGAAGGAAGGAAGGAAGGAAGGAAGGAAGGAAGGAAGGAAGGAAGAAAGAAAGAAAGAAAGAAAGAAAGAAAGAAAGAAAGAAAGAAAGAAAGAAAGAAAGAAAGAAAGAAAGAAAGAAAGAAAACTGAAAGCCAGTTAGCCCACAGTGGGCGGGGCTGAGGGGATGAAGATGAAATGTGGGGATCGTGGTTCTAACTGCTACCCTCAACACTCCCGACATGCTGGGCACGTTCCTATACAGACAGCACGCTTCTGTAATGACTCCCATGGCCGGTTTGCTGGCGGTAGTGCTGTTGTGTTCCTGTCCTCACCATCACTGACAGAGACAAGGAATCTACTGCACTGAACAACTGAATGTGGAAGACGTAAATAAATACTGCCCGGGTGCACTGGGATGAGTATGAAGCTCTGAGCAAGGCTGACGGAGGCGAGGGCAGCACTGTGGACATCCACAGACTGCACTGGGACAAACTCCCCAGGGCAGATCAGGGGGCAGATCAATGCTAAGGGCCAAGTCCAGCATCTGGGGAAGCGATTATGTCTCAAACAGTGAGTTGGATGTCACTTGGAACTGAACTCTTAATGCTTATTTCTAAGTGGCAAATTCTTGAGTAGTTTTTATTAGACACTTACAGTTTCATGATTGTTTGAATTTGCAACATGAGCTATACATCTTTCATTTCTGGACAGAAAATGCTCTATGTATTATCACCCTTATTAATGCCAGAGCTGGAAGATGAAGCTCTGAGAAATGTTCAAAGCTAGAACTGAAAACAGACAATGAGAGTTTCAGAAGCCCGGCTCTATCATCATCACACAGCTTTGGTAACTGTCCATTGTATGTTCAATGGCCAGCTCTGGAAGGCTGAAAGGATAATAGTACGCGAGTACAACCACCCTATTACTAATACCACCTAGTTCTGAAGCTATCAAATCAAAGTGAGAGGGACTAAAGACACTTGGCATTTGGTGTCCATTAATGACATGGATAAGAAAGAAATTACTGATAATATGAAGAAACCGTACAGTGTTAAGCAAACAGGAATATGAAATGACGGATGAAGGCAAAGGCACAAACCTGACACCATCAACACAGAAAGCTTCAACAACGTGGCATCAAAGAGTACAGTATACGTAACTGCTCTTTGCCCCTGCTCACAGATTGCTTTAGTTTCCTGGGATTGTTTCCAATTTATTTTTTCTCATATTTGTCACCTGAAGTTTATACTCCCTCTTCTTCTTATGTTTCAAGTTTATGCTGCAGTTTCTTATGCTGCTGTGAAACTGTGAAATCTAAGAAACATACTGTGGGGGTTTTGGCCCTGGTCTTTCCTGGTACACAGCTCCCAAAATCCTTGGAATGGCCAAAGTAACTGTCATTTGGTGTTACTGAAAACACTGTCTAGGGGTTCCTGAACAGCCTCAGGATAGAAGCCCGGCTGCCAGGAACCAACCAACAATTAGAAGGTTGGAACTTTCAGCCTCACGCCCATAGCCAAGGAGAGCAGAGGGGCTCAAGTGTGAGCCAATCACCAATGGACCATGAGTAGTTAATCAATCGTGCCTAGAAACCTAAAAGGACAGGGTTTGAGGAACTTCTGGGTGGTTGAACAATTGGCAGGGCCTGGAAGATGATGCCCCTTCCACATACCGTCCCTGTCCACCTTGTCATCTGACCAGTCTTCGACATTCTTTGTTAATAATACCCTTTATACTAAAATGGAACCCTAAGTACAGCACGTTCCTGAGTTCCATAGGCTGCTTTAGCAAATAACTGCAACCAAGGAGGAGGTCACAGAACTCCCAATTTATAAGGATCAGAAGTACGGGAGGCCTGGACCTGCAAGTGTTATCTTTAGTATGGGACAGTCTTCTTAGACTGACACTTAGGGGAAAAAATGTAATTTGAGAGGCAGACAGAAAGAGCGAGCAAGCAAGCTCCAATTTGCTAGTCAACCCCTAAATGCCCACGATGGCCAGAGCTGGGAACTCACTCCAGGTCCCCCACCTAGAAGGCAGGAACCCAGTTACTTGAGCCATCACTGCTGTTTCCCAGTGTCTACATCAGCAGTAAGTTGGAGTCAAGGGATCAAACCTAAGTGTTCTGATGCGGGTATCTTAACCCTACGCTAAATGCCCATCCCTTGATTCAAATTTTTGCTTCTTTATTTTTTGAGGCAGAGATACACAGATAGAGATCTCCCATCTGCTCATCCACTTCCCAATAGACTGCAGTGGCCCAAACTGGACCAGGCCGAAGCCCAAACTCAACCTCATGGGTGGCAGGGATTCAACCACTTGAATCATGACCTACTGCTTCCAGGCTGTGCACTGGCAAGAGGCTAGAATCAGGAGTGGAGCCAGGATTTGAACCAAAGCGCTCTAATATGGGATATGAGTGTCTTAAAGTGCCAAACATCCGCCCTTTGGGACTGATACTTAACCTATGGGATCTGATTCTAACTAATGCAGAATCCAAATTTAAGTGAATTATAGGATACTCAGTTGATGTCCTCTGTAAAAATTGTTTGGTGTGAGAAATCCTCACATTTGATCAAAGGAGAGTTCTGTGCTGAGTGTGAGATTAGGAATAACCATTTGGTTTTTCCAGTTTCATACAAGCTTTGGACAACTAAAAAGGATAGCAAGAATTCACAAACTCTAACTTCTCTGAGCATCTAGAAGCAACCATAAATCAACTTATTTAAATCTCTTCTGTAAAGCATCTTGGGAGCATATTAGAATGCAGATACGCTATAATCTGGAAGAATTGCGTGATTCTCATGCAACTGTGCATTGCAGTTGGGGTAGCAGGTGCTTATTAAACATCAGACAATGCCTTGTAGCAAGAGCCTCATCATGTTTTCATTAACCCCAATCAAGAAAAGAGCAAGAAAAATAAAACCTCAACTTACCTTTTTCCTTAACCGAGCAGCATTTACCAATTCACCATTATGTGCCACAGCTATTTTCCCATGAAGCGTTTCAACAACAAAGGGCTGACAATTTTCCAATTCAGAGTTTCCTGTAGTGGCGTACCTCGTGTGCCCGATTCCAAGATTTGAAACATATAATTTCTTCAAATTGTCTTCAGTGAAGACATGATTTACAAGACCCATTCCCTTGCAAAGTAAAAGTGCATTTTAGAAAAAAACAGGGACTGGTAATGCTAGGGAATAATAAAACCCTCTCTGTTCACGCCATCCAAACTAGACAATGCAGTTTAGCTAACGTCTGCACTTCAGAATCCTCACCTTAAGAAGAAAAAAAAGATTATCCTAATTGTAAAAAAGTGAACGATTTAGTGGCATTTAGTACATTCACAATGTTGAACTACTTCTATTTTATGGGATACTTTCCATTAAAACATTTAAGAACGGGGCCAGCATTGTGGTACGGCAGGTTAAACCAGCTGACCCGCTGGCATTCCATATCAGAACACTGGTTTTGGTCCTGGCTGCTCCACTTCTAATCCTGCTCTGTGCTAATGCACCTGGGAAGTAGCCGAAGCTGGCCCAAGTGCTTGGGCCCCTGCTACCCATGCAGGAGACTCAGATGGAGTTCTTGCCTCCTGGCTACAGTTTGGCCCTGTCCCATTCGTTGAGGGTATTTGGGGAGTAAACCTTGGATGGAAGCGTTCTCTCTCTCTCTCTTACTGTAACTGCCTTTCAAACGAATAACCCTTTTTTTTTTTTTTTTTTAAGATTTATTTATCTATTTGAAAGTCAGAGTTACACAGAGAGGAGAGGCAGAGAGAGAGAGAGAGAGAGAAGTCTTCCATCCACTGGTTTACTCCACACCTGGCCACAACGGCCAGAGCTGCGCCGATCCAAAGTCAGGAGCCAGGAACTTCTCAGTCTCCCACACAGGTACATGGGCCCAAGTACTTGGGCCATCCTCTACTGCTTTCCCAGGCCATCCTCTACTGCTTTCCCAGGCCACAGCAGAGAGCTGGATCAGAGGTGGAACAGCCAGGTCTTGAACCAGCGCCCATATGGGATGCCAGTGCTTTAGGCCAGGGCGTTAACCAGCTGTGCCACAGTGCCGGCCCCACAAATAACTCTTTTTTAAGTCAGCATTTAAGAACAGATGTACTAAGCAATAAAATTTGTCAAATATAAACTAAAATTTAAAAAATCAAGGCATCTTAAAGACTAAATGAATGCCCTCCTGTTTGAGTGAGCAGGTGGAGCAGCAATCTACCACTAGGGAAGAAATACATCCAGATTTAACAAAAGTTAGGATGATCCAAAGGGCACTACATCTAACTGAAATTATTTATTCTGATCCCACCTCCCCCATATATCAGTGATCAGGTTATCTTTTTATCATCAACAGTCTTTAATATCCAACTTTACCTTGTGTGTTTTGAACGTTGGCACTGAACTGCCGTCACTGGTCACAATGCCAGCACTCTCCTGACCCCTGGAAACACAAAAAGGCATCGGCTGTTACATCTGTCCAACGGATAAGCTCCTTGAAGAGCTTTGTCAGTAAGCACCCAGGGACACAGTGGAAGCCACCACACCAGCACCGCCTACACTGATACTAGAGGACTAGCAAGAGCAGCCAGTGTTGTTACAGGACCGTACTGCATCCAGCTCTACCTAGTACCCAGCTACTGTCCTAAACATTTGACATGAATGACCTCATCTGGCTTTCACAACAGTCCTATGAAATAGGTACTGTGATTACCATTCCCATTTTACACACAGCACCCTGATGGAGTGGGAAGGAAGCTGCCCAATGTCACGCAGAGAGCAAAGAGGAAAGCCAGGATCAGAACAACTGAACTCCAGAGTTTGTGCTGCTTCTACAGCGCAAGGTCCTTGATAAGAGAAGAATTCCACAATGTCCTACACTACATTACAGACTGGAGGAAGGCAGGAAGGAAGATATGAGGAGTTTACATCAAACTGACAGCTTTGGGCTAAACCAGCAAAGACAAGACTAAAAGAGACTGCTCCACACTCCCTTCCCATATGTTGAAAGTCATTATGGTGACTTGGCCCTCTGCATACAAACCGTCCACATGCAGTAACCCGTCTCCTTATGGACCACCTTCCTAACCAGGACTATGCCCACTTGTGTTGTCCCGCTCCTTTATCTACAGGCAACGTAGGTTCAAAGTTGTGATCTGTTTTCTTCTCTCCAAATTATAAAACACTCTGGCATTTATGAGGCCCTTGTTTGGCTTAATGGGTAAGACAACAGCTCAGATGTTTGCACCACCCATTGGAGTGCTGGGCTCAAGTCTTGTCTCCACTTCTGATTCCACCTGGGCCTGGCCCAGCACCAGCTGTTGCAGGCATTTGGGGAGAGAACCAGTAGAGGGGAGCTCTGTTTTGTCTCCCTGCCTCCCAAAGAAACAAATTAAAAAGCAACCCTGACTTTTTAGTCAGTGGACATTTTCCCAAATGCTATGTGCCACGCTACTGGGGCTGAGGGAATCTCACAGAACCACTCCTCTACTCGGCCAGCACATGTAGCAGCTCAGTAAAACCACGTAGGTTTGTTCAGAGACCTTTTGGTATCTGACTTTTTTGTTTTAACATCTCTACTTAAGACTCCAACAGGATGAATGCATAGATAAAGAAGAGGTATTCAAAGAGCTAATAGAAAAGGCATGCTACGAAAAAAACTGCATGGATTTCAAAATCATTTTGCACCAAAAATAACTCTGCTCCCTGGCAGTGCAGCTCCTCGGGGCAATCCCCTGTACACCATCAGCCCAGGGCGCTCTCAGCCCCCTTCTCTGTCTCTGGTCCTCGGAGGATGGCTTGCCTGGGCAGGGACAACTGATGCTTCCTGGCCAGGATGACTGGCAGAACTGGAAGGCTGCCACTCTTAGGTACTTAGCCTCCACTGCCTGCAGAGGTGAGGACCCCATTTCTCTGTGTTCTCTCTCAAGTCCTCAGAGAACGGCTTGCCTCTGAGAAGACAACTGATGACTCCTGGCCAGGGTGACTCACTGGAGGAACTGGAAGGTGTCTGCTCATGGATGTTCAGTACCTGATGCCCTCAGGGGCAAGGACCCCTCCATTTACCCTAGCAGGCTCCCTTTGTCCTCCACAAAGGTTAAAAGCCTACTGGTCTCCCTACATTTTGCTGACCACCCTGTTTAGAAACATCCTGGACTGAAAGACTTGACATTCAAGGATGAGTACAACTCTTTACTGTCCCTCTCCTGAACATGGGTTGGCCACCCAGCATCAGAGACCTTCCCTCTTAAAGGGGAAGTGTTGGGCCTTCCTCTTAGCCAGAGAAGCACCAAAGGTACCCTACAGTGGGCACAATGCCTCCATGAGGTGGGCTCCCATTTAAATTGAATGTCTCCCTCCTAACGGGACGCCTCCAAGAGGGTTCACCCTGGTTGCCGCCTAGTTGGGCTGTGTGGTTGGGCTGTCTGGCCATCCCAATCACCTTAATAATGGGACAATCAGGCTGGTGCCACGGCTCACTAGGCTAATCCTCTGCCTGCGGTGCCGGCACACTGGGTTCCAGTCCCGGTTGGGGCAATGGATTCTGTCCCGGTTGCCCCTCTTCCAGTCCAGCTCTCTGCTGTGGCCAGGGAGTGCAGTGGAGGATGGCCCAAGTGCTTGGGCCCTGCACCCGCATGGGAGACCAGGAGGAAGCATCTGGCTCCTGGCTTTGGATCAGCGCTGTGCGCTGGCCGCGGCGGCCATTGCAGGGTGAACCAAAGGTAAAGGAAGACCTTTCTGTCTCTCTCTCTCACTGTCCACTCTGCCTGTCAAAAAATAAATAAATAAATAAATAGATAATGGGACAATCACTTTAATCAAGGTCATTTAATCCCCAGACTCTACAAAAGAGGTGTGTAGCCCCAACGTGAACTTCCAGAACAGGAGTTCTGGCCAGCTCTATCTCTCTATTCCAATCTTTAAGGAAATCTCTGGTATTCTCTGCTGTTCTCTGTTAAGTTTTGTCTGCTTGGGAAAGTTGAGTCTTAGAACAGTGAAGATTGTTATCCAGCCCAGGGGCTGCTGGCGCCCGTATTTTCCGTCTCCATGGCTGGGCTTTGGGTCAACTTGGGTACAGTAGGTGGAGTTCTAAGCAGACATGAGGGTCGCATACTCTGCCCTTCCCATTACAGGCCCAGGGGCCAAGGAGAGTTGTTTTGTAAAACTCCTGAGATGCTTTCTAAAACACGACATGCAATGGACGTAATAACTGGCTCTGTTTGTGAGTTGCTTAGTTTTATCATTTTAACCACGACTATTGTTAAGTCTTTTGCCATCCACGGTTCTGACTGTACGAACATTTGAAATTCTATTATGAGGAACACTAACTTTTTTTTTTTGACAGGCAGTTAGACAGTGAGAGAGACAGAGACAGAGACAAAGGTCTTCCTTCCGTTGGTTCACCCCTCAAGTGGCCGCTATGGCCGGTGCTGCGTTGATCAGAAGCCAGGAGCCAAGTGCTTCCTCCTGGTCTCCCATGGGGTGCAGGGCCCAAGGACCTGGGCCATCCTCCAATGCACTCCTAGGCCACAGCAGAGAGCTGGACTGGAAGAGGAGCAACCAGGACAGAATCCGGCATCCCAACCAGGACTAAAACCCGGTGTGCCGGTGCTGCAGGCGGAGGATTAGCCTAGTGAGCCACGGCACCGGCCCAAATGTTCTTTAATAACAGGTTTCTGACTGCTTTAAGATCAGTGATAAGAAGTTCTAGAAGTCTTGGAAGTGGGGGAGGAACTACAAGATCCATGAAACTGCTGATGGAGATCAAACAAGAATTCCTGACATGAGAATGAATTAATGCAATCTGTGCATTTCTCTGTCTTTTATTTAAAATATTGTTGGCTCTCTATTTGAATGTTTCATCTTTTAGGTTCAGGAAACCTATTCCCTGTGATTTCTATGGCATACTGTGCTTTGGTATAGTTCTGTAAACAGAGATGGAAGTGTTTACCTTTTCCACCCTACTAAGTTCCTCTAAAATTCAAACACTTTTATGAGGATTTTTGGTTTCCCATGGCAATGCGATTGCACGAGTTCAGAGGATTCTGTTCTCATAACAGGATATAGTTGGAAACACTGGTACATCTAAAATTATGCACAGAATGCCTGGCTTCAAGGGTTCCCGACCTTGCAGCAAGTAAATGGAGCAGGTTATTTCTTAGTAGGCCCAGAAAATTCGAGGTCAGGCATCATAGTTATAAAAGTCTGCCTTGGATTGGCATCACTTTGAGAGTTTCCTAAATCCAAGATTATTATATAGCAAAGCAACTTTTGTTACTGTACTTAAGGCAAACTGTCAGTCAACAAACTAAAATATACCTGCCAGGGCCGGCACTCTGGTGTAGTGGGTAAAAGCCACCGCCTGCAGTGCCAGCATCCCATATGGGCGCCGGTTTGAGTCCCGGCTGTTTCACTTACGATCCAGCTCTCTGTTATGGCCTAGGAAAGCAGCTGAAGAAGGCCCAACTCCTTGAGCCCCTGCACCCATGTGGGGAACCCAGAAGAAGCTCCTGGCTCCTATCTTTGGATCAGCTCAGCTCTGGCCATTGAGGTCATTTGGGGAGTGAACCAGTGGATGGAAGACCTCTCTCTCTCTCTCTCTGGCTCTACGTCTCTCTGTAACTCTTTCAAATAAATAAAATAAATCTTTAAAAAAATAAAATAACACATACCAGCCTTTCACTTTGATGTCCTTGTAGTTGTTTTTATTTTTTTTTCCCCTTTTTGAGCTTTGTGCTTATTGCCTGTCAGAATTCTCCAGAAGTACAAGTCCCAGTAAGGTAATGCTGACTTGATACTTCGGGATGATGAACAGATCCAGCTAAGTTTAACAACCGACTCCAGGTAAAGTCAGCCCAAGGACCCTTCCTTCCAAAGTGGTCCTTAGGCTAACAGTTCCTTCCAAAACCTCTGTTGCTCAAATGTGGCTGAACGGGTTCTGACAGACTCCTGGTCATTAAAATACCTCTCTCCCACACGGGACTGGATCAACAACCAGGTCAAATCCAGGCTGGCCATGAGGGACAAACGGAACCTAGTTACAAGATGAGTGATCAGCCGTGTGCTCAGAAAAAGATCTCGATCACGAGGAGGGAATAAAAATCAAGATGGAATCACCGGTGTCAACCTTAAACAAAGTGGATAAAGCTGAGAGGTTATGAAGTAAGGGTTCTAATGCACAGTTATGTAACAGTAACTATCATAAAAGACTACTAGAACTCACTCTATAGAGGGTCCCTGTTTCAAAAGGGAGAAACTAACTGGACATGATATTGTTTTTCTTACCTAATGGTAAAATCTACACAGCACTCAACAGTGCTCAAGGTGTTGAGGAAGCTCTGACTTACTTGTACCTGAGGAGTAAGGATTAAGACTGGGGATAGTGACTTCAAATTTGGGGACACTATTTTATTTTGTACACTAATGGTGTGCATTTAAAAAACC